GATGGCAAACCCCTACGGACCTTTGGATGGTTCAAATGCTCTGGGGTTCGGCCTAAAATCAAATTGAAGATACCTTCTGAGGGTCCATCTGTAGTCTATGTACTGACAGGATGAACCCCCAAAATTTGATGGATGATTGGTCAAATATTCACTTTTCCAGTTTTGTAATAACGCATGCTGGCACAGCTGTGAGAGAACTTCATGGATATAGTGGTCATGGCTTGCTTGACTATGAGAATAGATTAAGATATTGTTTAGATATGCCACTACAAAACAGTCTAGGATATCTTGAAATATGTTGTTGATCGGGTGCTGGATGGCAGCAGGAGCACTAGTGAGCCCAAAGGATATTACCAAATATTCTAAGTGTCCATGCCCCATTCTAGAAGCTGTCTTCCACTCATCCCCCATCCTGATTCAAACTAGATGCTCCTCTAAGGTCCAGTTTGGTGAACACTCAAGATGACCATACTAAATTCAGGAGCTCTGGGATTAATGGTAAAATGTATCGATTGCACAAAGTCTCAAAGAGCCATCAGGTTTTTTCCAGAGAAAATACAGGGGCACCTACAGTTTTAGCTAGGTTTTACTGGAGGTGCTCCCTTCATGCTGCTAGCTCTGCTTTGGACATAGAATTTATATGCCTGAATAGAACTGTGGCTCTAGGCTGAAGGTCAATGGGGCAATCATAAACATGATGTGGGGGTAGCGAGTGTGCATTACATTTTTTGAAAACATCCTGATAGTCCTTTGTACTTCACAGGAAGTACTTCACAGGTCCATCATGCAGGATTGATGTTTCTAGGTACAACAGGGTTGCCATCACATGGGGGAACATCTGGTTTGCTCACGAAGGGGAACCCCCTGGCTTGGTTTCAAGGGTTTTGAGTTCTTGACTGAGAAGACAATTCTCCCTAAAAAAGCTTGACAGGAAGGCAGTGATGTGTTGGGACCACAGAATATGGGGATCATGACAGATGAGCCAAGGTGCCCCTAAAAATCAGGGTGAAAGGAAGTAGGGGTAAACCATAGTACTTCCCCATGCTCCCCAGTCGCCACCTGCAGGATCCTCAATTGCAGGGGAATCTGTAGTAGTGTAGATGGATAAGGAACACCTGGGTTAGCATAATCTTGGGGTTTCTTCCTGGTGGTACTCAGGCTCGAGTCTCCGACTGGGTGTGGGGTTAGTCTCTTCCCTGTCATCAGCTTAGCAGTGCGTTTGACAGGACATGTTACCACATTATCTGCTCCTCCATAACAGAAGTGGAGTTCTCCTGTCTTCTGTGCTCTCGTTCACCCAGTGACAGGCAGGTATGTTGGTATGGCTTGACCAAGGCTGAGCTCACTTGGGCCCTGAGGGCTAAGCTTTGAGTAAGGGTGAGAGGTAGGTCCTCCTATGTTCCAGTTTCCATTCATGCAGTCTGGTGTCTATCTGGATGCCCAGGTCCATGAACGCCTCTAAACTGGTGGTGGGGAGGTCCACCTGTGCCTGCTCATATTTTAGTTCTTTGCAAAGGCCAAGCCAAATCCGATGGATGAATACAGCATTATTCCAGGAAGTGTCTATGGCCAAGCATCTGACCTAGGCAACAGAGGAAGGACTAACCTCTGGGTTCACCTAAGCTTTGGTAAGGCAGTCTCTGCCATGCAGACTTTGTGAGGGTCATCAAAAATAATGGCAAAGCCTTATTTGAGTCACAGTTGGTCAGTACTGGGTTATTCTGTTCCAAAAATGGAGAGGCCCATGACAGGTCCTCCCCTGTGGGCAAGCTCAGTACTAGCTCCATCTTAACTTGATCTATGATGTACTCCTGGGGCTGAAACATAAACAGAAGTCTGCAATAGTTAATGAACCTGCAAAACTTACTGCAGATACTACCATCTCTCTTCTAGCAAAGGAACTCTGGGGCTAGTCACACAAGTTGGTGTTATAAGAGAAGCCGAGTGGTTACCCACAGTCGTGCTGAGCACTGTAGCTTGCTCCTGCAAGGAACGATTTCCTGCCTGCAGTTATCATACTTGGTCCCTCCATTTCTGGCTGGAGGGTAGCCATCTGTTCTTGTGGACTCAGAGGCCCCTGGGCGTGATAGCAGGGCTAGAGCTCCAGCAGTGTCCATACTCAGTCAAGAAGTTCAACAAGAAGTCCCAGAGGAGACGAGGTTGGCCTGAGAAAGCTATCAGGGCCCGTAACATGGGCTGTTTGACCTAGTGGTCACAGCCAGGAGTAGCGTTGGGGTCATGGTCACGCCAAGGGGCAAAGCCAGAATCAGCAACAGGAGTCAGGACAAGGAACAGGAACAGGCAGGAGGCGTGGTAGCAAGAACAAGGTCAGATAGGAGGAACAGGAGCAGGAGCCAGGCAAGGAGGCAGCGATTTGGTCTCAGAGCTCTGAGGCCTAGCAATCAGTTGCTCAGACAAGGGATGGGACAGGAACAGGAAATTTTATACCAGTGGTGTTTAATCAGCGGTCTGTTGTTAGTCATCTGACCCCACGGAGTCATTGGGTGTAGCTTCTAGTGGTGGGGTACTAGCAGCAGTTCCCTTATCAGCCCTCACAGCTCAGTGGTACATAGGGTAAGGCTCCCATAGCCCCCCAAGCCTGGGTTCAAAACTCATGGCACCTAACAAATATACACTTTAAAATCAAGTTGGTTGGAGAATGGCACTGAACTTTTTCCATAATGTTCAAGCAATCAGATCAATCTTGAGCCTTGTCTTCACTACAAAATAAAAGGTGTGTATTTAAGTTAGCTAACTCCAGTTAATATCCTAGTGAAGACAAGGCTGTAGTTTTCACATGAGTTAGAGTATTGGGGAACCTGGGGTTTAACACGACGCTCTAACGCATGTGAAAACAGACAGACTGCCTTGTCTCCACTAGGATTTTAACTTGAGTTAGCTAAATTTGATTTAAGAACACTCCATCTGTCGGCCCCGTGTAGACAAAGCTTGAGTCTGCTGAGGTTTCTGGAAACATCCAGTCCGCTACTCGACATAAATAATTGGTTTAACAGGTATTAGCAGAGTCTCGCCCATACTAACATTACTGCCTCTCTTTTCTGCATTCATACTCCCCCCCCCCCCTAATATTGGTAACTTGCCACCTTCCCATGCCTGCAAAATAGTAAAACTGATTCCTTTTATCATTTCCCGAGAGTTACATAAATGTAGGGACTACAAAAACATTACCAAACTAAAGGCCTCAATGCACACTGCCAGGAGATCAAAAGCCACATCTATTCTACAATATATCAAACAGGCTGCTGACATTATCATCCTTTATAGGAAGTTGTGGCCTACAGGTCGCAGTATGCAAGGCTCTATGCTGCTCTGAGCATTGCAGCAAAGAATTCAATCAATAGTCTCCCCAAGTCTCAATAGGTTGTACTTCCTTATTAGGGTATGTCTACACTACCCGCCGGATCGGCGGGCAGCGATCAATCCAGCGGGGATCGATTTATCATGTCTAGTCTAGACACGATAAATTGACCCCCCGGCGCTCTACCGTCGACTCCTGTACTCCAATGCTGCGAGAGGTGCAGGCAGAGTCAACTCACCGCGGTGAAGACACCACGGTAAGTCGATCTAAGTACGTCGACTTTGAAGTTGCGTAACTTAGATCGATTCCCCCCACCCTCCTGGTGTAGATGAGGGCTTAGAGAGGAGGGCAGCCACAAGCTGCATTACTAGAACTGCACTGTGGATAGCTCTGCCTCGAACAAATGAAGGACTAAATACTGGGAAGCTTTTTTTTTTAATTTCAAATTTAAAACTTTTTTTTAAGAAATCTGGTCCATTTGCTCTTCACTTGGCTATCCCAGCCTTTAGCAGCTTCTGACGCTAGTACAAAACGTGGCTGACAGTCATAGCAGTAATATAGCACCCTTTGAGTGTCTGAAGTGTAAAGTTCATTAGTTCTACCTTAAGATCACTCTTTTAATCCAACAGACAAAATTTTATTCACCCTACTATGCTGTCATCTCAGAAGAAAGAAAACTGAAAAAAAAAAAAATCAAGGACGGCTTGGATACTTCTATGAGTGAGGAGGATCAGCACTATAAATGCAAATCACAGTCAATACTATTTAACAAGTTGCAAGAATGCATTGAAGCCATTTCTTGATTGTATCGTTAACCAAGTAAACTTAAATAGTACAGGTAAAATAAACTAACTGAAGAAAAACATTTCAATACAGGACAATTAGTGTTGATGAAGTTATTAATTGAAGTTGGATTAAAAACAGAATTTAGTATGGTCTGTTGGGAATTCTAAGATATGCAACTAATTGAAAATATTTTAGTTTCTGTTGTATTTGTTGACTGATTTTTGTAAATACATTTAACAAAAAACCTTGCTTGAACCTCACAATCTCTTTTAAATCATTAAAAAGTTGATATGCCAAGGGAAAAATAATTTTTAAGTTGCAGGGGCTTTGTCTTTATAATTGTGTATGACACTTAATACAAATAAAAGTTCAGTGTTGTAAATGTACTTGCTCTGACCCTGACCCTGCAGAGAGTTCAGCACATGCTTAACTTTGCACATTATAAGTAGTCTGTCTCAAGCAACAGAACTATCCACAGTGCATAAACTTAAGCACATGCATATGTCTTTGCAGGATCGTGGCCTTTGTGCCTATATTTGAGTGAGATGTTGCCCTCTAGAGGCTATGATACTTACTACTAGTAGGAGTTCTCCTCTACCTCCAGTGCTAGAGCTTTGAGTTTGTGGGGCTTTTAGTCCTGCTTCACTAGGTTAAATGTGTGCAGTTGTGACAATGCTAAATTAGGGTTTATTTCAAAATCTGTGTCCAAATGTACTCAAATTACTTACATTTACTTTAAGGGCCTGATCCTATAATATTCCAAGAACTCCCAACTCCTGCAGGATCCCCCAATTTACCATTAATATTTTCCCTACAGTTTGGGTGCTTGTGCAGATATACCACTCTCACATTTCCTGCATTTAACCAAATGTGGCTTTTTTTTTATTTTACTCACCTGCACGCTAAGATGAATCCATTTCCTCACAAGAATTCTCCCCAGTGTCATTACTTTTATTGGCGGCTGCAAACCATTTACTGTGTGATAATAAAACATGGTCTCTTTTTCGGAGACTGTGAGTTTGAACACAGTCTGCCCATCAACGGCCTTTTCCATCACACACCTTTGGAAATAACCAAGAAAAACAACATAAGGTCAGAGGCACACAGACAGACACACTCAAGCCAAGGTGCTATGCAGTAAAGTGATGCTAACCAGAATGTATTAAAATAAAATGTTAAAAATACAACCTGAGAGGATGCTCAGTGGCAGAGATGTCACAGGATATACTACGCATAAGGAAAAATATTCCTATAACTTGAAAGGAGAATCTTTATTTGCAATTTATTCCCCACAGTCTCACTTCCTTTCTTCATGGATCTATGACAGAAAACATGGTGGCTGGCTATAGTCTGTAAAACTAATATTGAAACTTCTGGCTCATTAGTTTCTTTGCTGTACTTTTCCTACAAAGCTGCACAACACTGCATCCTGATAAGGCACTAAGCCACTAGCACGCTTTCTTTTAATTTTAATAAAGTGGATATATGTGCCAGAAGGCCAATATTTTCCCACAGAACAAGTGCAGCACAGTCACCAGCAGTGCAAGATTCCCCCACATTGATCTGTAGATATGCCTCAACCCTCTCTAGAGAACCCCCAAGTTGCAAGAAGATTGTTCAGTCAATCCTTAGCTTTTCTGCTGAGATATCAGGTTAGCACCAAATGCAACGTGGACACTGATGGACAAGGGACTTGACTGAGGCCACGCAAATTCATTTCACACATCTAGCTGTCCAAGTAGTTTTACCACATATAACCATGTTGTCGGAAGCTACGCAGCAGACAATAGGCTACATAAGAGGCTTCAGACAGTAAGGTATTTTAGGCACTACTGAGTGAGCAATCCAAAGCTTTACATTCCATTGTCAATCCATTAAGCCATTCAGGCAGAATTCAACTCACTCATCCATGAACATGTACATGAAGAGCCAGATTCTGAGCTCAACTACACTGGAGTAAATCAGAAGTTACATCAGTTTTACACTCATATCTCCATAGACCTCACTGGAGCAAGAGAAATAAGAATTTGTTCCAATAAACTTTATTTGCTACTAAACCTCATTCCTTTATGTTGTCCATTCTCCCCCCTACACACAAAAGTATCACAGCAGCTGGCTTATTGGTAAAGGTACCTTTGTCATTAACTGACTCGCATTTAAAACCACTAAGGGAAAAATAAATGGATTTTGACTGTTACTCTTTTTAGCCCCCAGGGATGTTGTCAATAAAATTTACTTGCCAAACACAGACTCCTATTTTCCAAGCTTACTAAAAACACATTTCTTAATATATTGTTGATTGGCCTTCTCACTGTTTTGTTTGCCTGTAAACATGCTAGTTTTGGTAGATAATCAATGTGAGGGAAGGCACAGCTAAGTAGCAAAATATTTAGGAACTGGATTTACCCAGTTTCTGGATAAACAATAGTTGGATAATCCAGGATTTGTTTATTTTACTTATCTAAAACAAACACCCCCCACATTTTTTTTATCCCCACAGGTGTCATGACTTTAAGAAGGGAAGTGACCTTGATGTACTGAATTTTGAAAACTGGAAATTACAGATATTAATTGTGACCCACCTGTGAAAAAAAGAGGAAGAAAGTGAGATGTGTGTGTGAGGGAGAAATGATGTCAATAAAGGTGAAATAGGCATAACAGTATCAGTTCTGGTTAGGAATGGTACTTTGCATTCCAACCAGACCTTTAAAAAGGAACAGCCATTCTCTGTGACTGTTCCAACTTCCTGGTAAAACACATCCCCAGGGAGTTACTTCCTGACTCCGAAATTCTTAGAATGCACACCTCTCTGATACTCAGAAAGAAAATAGCATCCAGAATGTGTATGGTGTTGTGGGGGAGTGAGAAGGGAAGAGAGGACAGACCAGGAAAGGGTGGTGGGGGTGGGTGATCACTGCTTTATTGTCCAAAAGCAGAGAAATGCAAAGCTTTTAAAATTACAGATGCAATCATTACATAAAGACAACTTTCTATATTATATGGAATCTCAGTGTTTCTCTTTTTTCTTGCTATTCTTTCTTCAGTTTCTCAAAATGCTAACTTAAAAAGGGGACCTATAAATATAAATACAAAACATGTATGTTAACAGAACATGAAGATTGTAAACTTAGGCCTGGTCTACACTAGGAGGTTATGTCGAATTTAGCAGCGTTAAATCGAATTAACCCTGCACCCGTCCACACAACGAAGCTATTTAGTTCAACATAGAGGTCTCCTAAATTCGATTTCTGTACTCCTCCCCAACGAGGGGAGTAGCGCTAAATTCGACATGGCCATGTCGAATTAGGGTAGGTGTGGATGGAATTCGACGCTAATAGCTCCGGGAGCTATCCCACAGTGCACCACTCTGTTGACGCTCTGGACAGCAGTCCGAGCTCGGATGCTCTGACCAGCCACACAGGAAAAGCCCCGGGAAAATTTGAATTCCTTTTCCTGTCTGGCCAGTTTGAATCTCATTTCCTGTTTGGACATCGTGGCGAGCTCAGCAGCACTGGCAACGATGCAGAGCTCTCCAGCAGAAGTGACCGTGCAATCCCAGAATAGAAAGAGGGCCCCAGCATGAACTGATCGGGAAGTCTTGGATCTGATCGCTGTGTGGGGCGATGAGTCCGTGCTTTTGGAGCTGCGATCGAAAAGGCGGAATGCAAAGATCTACGAGAAGATCTCAAAAGCCATGAGAGAGAGAGGATACAGCCGGGATGCAACTCAGTGCCGCGTGAAAATCAAGGAGCTGAGACAAGGGTACCAGAAGACCAAAGAGGCAAATGGACGCTCCGGATCCCAGCCCCAGACATGCCGTTTCTACGAGGCACTGCATTCCATTCTAGGTGCGGCCGCAACCACTACCCCACCACTGACCGTGGACTCAGAGGATGGGATATTGTCGAGGGCCGCTTCCTCGGAGATGTTAGCGGATGGGGAAGATAAGGAAGGAGATGAGGAGGACGAGGCAGTCGACAGCGCTTACAACGCTGATTTTCCAGACAGCCAGGATCTCTTCATCACCCTCACAGAGATCCCCTACCAACCGTCCCCAGGCATTAACCCGGACCCTGAATCAGTGGAAGGATCAGTCGGTAAGTGTTGTAAACATGTAAACATTTAATTTGAACAGAACAGGAACATTAACAATGGGTTTTTAATGATTGGTTTGCCCTAGGCGCTTAACGTTTAAGTCCTTGGCAGTGCAACTACTGCAAAAGAATCTAACAATGTCCAGTTTATCATGATTAGTTTGCCCTAGGCGCTCTACTTTTCAGTCCTTGCCAGTGCAGCTACTGGAAAATAAGGTCTATATGTCCGGGGATAGAGCTGAAATCCTCATGGGACATCTCCACGAAGCTCTCCTGGAGGTAATTGGAAAGCCTTTGCATGAGGTTCCTGGGGAGAGTGGCCTTATTGTGTCCTCCGTGGTAGGAAACTTTTCCGCGCCAGGCTACCATCAAGTACTCTGGTATCATTGCCTTGCAGAGCATGGCGGCATACGGCCCTGGTTTTTGCAGGCTTTCACGCAGCATCCGTTCTTTCTCTGTCTCAGAAATCCCCAGCAGAGTGATGTCGCTCATGGTGACCTGCTTAGAATTAGGGGAATGTTACTATTGGGACTGCTTGCCTGTTCCTTTACAGAACTGTAACCGGCGGTTTACAGCCACGCGGTGGAGGCGGGAGAGGGGCAGCATACAGGGATCTTTCCTGGGGACAGCCACGAGGGGGTGGGACAGGGGCTGAGTTCATGCTTTCTGGATTGCCGGCAGCAGGAACTGGCCAACGCTAGGGGCATTGCTTTGAATGGGAAAGGAGGGCACTGCTATAATTTAAGTTTTAAGCAGCCAAAAGTCTACGGCTTACCATGTCAGCCTGCTACCCGAATTCCACTGTCCTGCCCCGCTTGTCTGATCTCCACTGCAAGACCCCAGGCACTGAATGCGAAGGCCGAAAATTCGACCTTGTCCTGAGTGCGCATGTGATAGGTGCTGTGCATGGTCTTGTTCACAGAGAAAGACTATGTTCATTGTTCACAAAAATTTATCTTTTTGAGGAATTCACTTCCTTTTTCCCATCCCACAGCTGCGACTGTCTCCCGACCTACCCTGGCATCCCCCTCCCAGAGGCTGGCGCAGATTAGGCGGAGAAAGAAAAGGACACGGGACGACATGTTATCAGAATTTATGGGCTGCTCCCGAGCCGAGGCAGCCCAGCAGACCCAGTGGAGGGAGAACATGTCGCAATACCATCGATCAAACATTTAACGGGAGGAGAGGTGGCAGCAGGAAGACCAGCAGGCGACTCAAACGCTGCTTGGACTAATGAGGGAGCAAACGGACACGCTCCGGCGCCTTGTGGATGTTCTGCAGGACCGGAGGCAGGAGGACAGAGCCCCGCTGCAGTCTCTGTCTAACCGCCCTCCCCCGCCACAAAGTCCCATACCCCCCTCACCCAAAGGCCCAAGAAGGAGGGGCGGCAGGGGCCGTGAAAACTGTCACTCCACCCCTGCAGACTGCTCGAGTACCAGAAGGCTCTCATTCCCCAAAATTTGATAAGTCCTTTCCTTCCCGCCTCACCCAAGCCCCCGTCCCAGTTTCATCCCCTAACTGTGTAGTTGCTAACAAAAAATACGTTTCTGTTAATTACTGTTTCCATCATGTTCTTTTAGAGGAGAGTGTGTTTGAAGGGTGGAAGGGGGTTGGTAATTGGAGAGCACAGTCACCTTTACCAGGGTGCAGACACGGGGGCAGGTTCAGCAGCAGGTCACACACACATTGCAGTCACTAGGCACCCTGGTCAGTCTGGGAGGTGGTTTTCATGTTCTGTGGTGGGGGGGGGAAGCTATGTGACTTTGTGGCAGGGGAGGGCGGTTAGAGATCTTATGCAGCAGTTCTTTACCTTGGATCACAAGCCACGCAGCAGGGGATCTGTAACCGTCCTCCCCCACCACAAAGTCACATAGAGCGGTCCGCAGTGGTGGACTGGTTGTTTCAATGGAGCCTGCCACCCCTCCTTTTTGGGACTCTGTGTGTGGGGGCTATGTGACTTTGTGGTGAGGGAGGACGGTTACAGATCCCCTGCTGCGTGGCTCTGTGATCCAAGGTAAAGAACTGCTGCATAAGATCTCTAACCGCCCTCCCCCGCCACAAAGTCACATAGCCCCCACACACAGAGTCCCGAAAAGGAGGGGTGGCAGGCTCCGTTGAAACAACCAGTCCACCACTGCGGACCGCTCTAGGAGCCAGAGCCTGTCATTCCTCGAGTTTAGAAGCGTTCTTTCCATCACTACGCCCGCTCCCCACCACAGTCTGCGTCCCAGTTTCAACTGTTTACCGCGAAACCCGTAATAAAGAAAACGGGGTTCATTAACAAAGTTCCATTTATTTTATTTTTAAACGTGGGTTGGAAGGGGGGGGACGGGGTGAACGGGGTATGTAGCTGGAGAGGATAGTCAATATTAACAGGGTAAAGAAACGGGAGCAGGTTCAGCTTCTCTTTAAACAAACTTAATAGTCACAGGTTACCCTGCTCACTGAGGAACCTAGCTTTCAAAGCCTCCCGGATGCACAGCGCGTCCCGCTGGACTCTTCTAATCGCCCGGCTGTCTGGCTGGGCGTAATCAGCAGCCAGGCTATTTGCCTCAACCTCCCACCCCGCCATAAAGGTCTCCCCTTTGCTCTCACAGAGATTGTGGAGCACACAGCAAGCTGCAATAACAACGGGGATATTGGTTTCGCTGAGATCAGAGCGAGTCAGTAAGCTTCTCCATCTCCCCTTGAGACGTCCAAAAGCACACTCCACCACCATTCTGCACTTGCTCAGACAGTAGTTGAAGAGTTCTTTTTCAGTGTCCAGGGCGCCTGTATAGGGCTTCATGAGCCAGGGCATTAGCGGGTAGGCTGGGTCCCCGAGGATCACTATAGGCATCTCCACATCCCCAAGAGTTATTTTGTGGTCCGGGAAGTAAATTCCTTCCTGCAGCCGTCTAAACAGACCAGAGTTCCTGAAAACGCAAGCGTCATGAACCTTGCCCGGCCATCCGACGTTGATGTTGGTAAAACGTCCCCTATGGTTCACCAGTGCTTGCAGCACCATTGAAAAGTAGCCCTTTCGCTTAATGTACTGGCTGGCCTGGTGGTCCGGTCCCAGGATAGGGATGTGAGTTCCATCTATAGCCCCACCGCAGTTTGGGAATCCCATCGCGGCGAAGCCATCTATGATGACCTGCATGTTTCCAAGGGTCACTACCTTTGACAGCAGTAGCTCAACAATTGCGTTGGCTACTTGCATCACAGCAACCCCCACGGTAGATTTGCCCATGCCAAAGTGGTTCGCGACTGACCGGTAGCTGTCTGGCATTGCAAGCTTCCAGAGGGCTATGGCCACTCGCTTCTGGACAGTCAGGGCTGCTCGCATCCGGGTGTCCTTGCGCTTCAGGGCAGGGGACAGCAACTCACAAAGTTCCAGGAAAGTTCCCTTCCGCATCCGAAAGTTTTGCAGCCACTATGATTCATCCCAGACCTGCAGCACTATGTGGTCCCACCAGTCCGTGCTTGTTTCCTGGGCCCAGAATCGCCGTTCCACAACATCAACATGACCCATTGCCACCATGATGTTCACGGCGCAGGGTCCCGTGCTTTGTGACAGGTCTGTGCCCCTCTCAGACTTCATGTCCTCACCGCGCTGACGTAGCCTCCTCGCCTGATTTCTCAGCATCTGCCTCTGGAAAAGGTGTACGATAAGGTGCGAGATGTTGACAACGGCCATAACTGCAGCGATGGTCGCAGCGGGCTCCATGCTCGCAGTGCTGTGGCGTCCGCGCTGTCACTGACCAGAAAAGCACGCGAAATGATTGCCCGCCGGCGCTTTCAGGGAGGGAGGGCGGGAGTGACGGTTGGATGACGACAGTTACCCAAAACCACCCTCGACACATTTTTTTCCCCAGCAGGCATTGGGGGCTCGACCCAGAATTCCAATGGGCAGCGGGGACTGCGGGAACTGTGGGATAGCTGCCCACAGTGCACCGCTTCCAATGTCGACGCTTGCCCCGTTGGTGTGGACTCACAAAGTCGAATTACTGTCCTTAGTGTGGATACACACGTTCGACTTTGTAATATCGATTCCACATATTCGATTTAAGTAAAATCGAACTACTCTCGTAGTGTAGACATACCCTTAGTAAATACACATTCAACCTTAATTCTGCATCTTTGGGTGCGTATTTGTCTTTCTATTATGGAGTCTTCCGGTCTCTCGACATTACATTCCTGAGTTCTATTCCTAGCTCTGGGAGCAAAGTGGGATCACGTGGTTAGAGCACATTTCAAACAGCACAGGCAAGCACACATATTTGGTAGATTCATTCTGAAAGACTGTGTGGAAAAATGGATGAGACTTGGGTCTGTTATATTTGAGATCAGAGTTCTATTCCAACACTGCCTGAAGTACTTGGGTAAATTTTCAGTTAAGCTAGTTGTAAAATGGGTGACTAATACTTTCCTGTCTCCTTAAATGTTGCAAGGCAGTTGTGTGAAGCCTTGGTCAGTTTGGCTCCCACTTCAGTGCACCTTCTGTTACGGCAAATGGGGTTTGGAGTGTCTCTCTGTCCTATAAAGATTTTTTTCTGAGACACAGGCAGGGCCTACTACTGCTATGAGCATGTAAGGAAAGGTTCACTACACACCCAGTATAACAAAATGGAAAAATGCAGTTCTGTCAGCTCTGGTGATGTTGTCTTTTGTGTGGTGGACTACATGCCTGCTGAGTCAGACTTCAGAGCCTGTTTGTGTGGCACTAAGCGGTTGACTGGCCTTCTGTGTGACTAGGCTGGTCCAATGTGTCTATCTGCACAATACTCCAAGCACTCCCTCTGTCTGATGATGTGCTGAGCTTTTGTTCCAAGTTCACTCTACTATACCACCAGTTTGTAATTAACCATGGTCTAGCAGCATAACATACGTGTATATGTACTGAACATCTATTGCCAAAGTCACAGAAACTGTGCATATGGCTCATTGGGGTGGTCCAGGTGCAGGGAGAGTGGGGCTTGTCAGGAAGGGTTCTAGGCTTGGTGGGAAGGTCTGGGTATGAGGGGGGGGGGGGTCTCCCCCTGAGGAGCCATGGGTACAGGAGGCATGTGGGGGAAGCAGTTTGCAGAGCTTCCTACAGAAGGAGGAGAAATCAGGGGGTGGGTCTGACACAGCCCCGGATGCCATGCAGGGGAAGAGGAAGTCCCATCTTCCCCAGCTCAGGCAGGACTAGAAGCTGAGCCTAGCGCAGGGTAGGAGCCACTAGCTGGGTCTTCCCCAGTCCCACCCCCGCCTCACAGTGATTTACCTGGGCACCCGAAACATACTGCTGGGGAGAGTTGTATGACCGCTCTTGTGGCTTCCCTTTGCTATCCCATCAGAAAGTCATTTTTCTGTGGGGAAGCAAAGAAATCTGTGGCGGGGACATAAATTCTGCACATGCACAGTGGCGCAGAATTCCCACAGGAGTAATACTTGAGCACTTTGCTGTATCAGGGCTACAATTATTCCTTGAGATCAAGTTGAAGGGGCTTTACATTTGGTTCTGTCTGAAGGTTCTATCCTTATAACCATGTCATCTGTATGTATGTAGACATTGGTTTGTTACAGAGCAGCTCCCCAGGCTGGACTTTAACGTCTGTGGATTTCAGATGCTCAAGAGGCACTGGTCTTTACAGGTACCGTATGTAATATACTGTCACAGTAGTTAAAACCTATAACTCCCTGCAACTGTATCACAGCTGAGTTTCTCCTTTAGCACAAGGGGTAAAGACCTGCACTTTTGTTGCTGTAGGTCTCAGGTTCAACCACTGATTTTGACCACAAGATCAATACATGTATGTGGTCCCCGGCTTAAGGCAAGGGCTTAAATGTAATTACGCATTGCATCTTAACATGTTGTGTGCTTAAAACACCATAGCTCTGCGATGCTGTATGAAAATCAAGAAGTGAAAATGACTAGAAACAAAAGAAAAAAAATTTTCTAGTGTTTTTTGTCTAAGCTGAGTAAAGTACAAATATATAAACAATCACTATCTATAATGGTACAGAGGAGCATATTAGATTTTAACATTCCAAAGATATGGAAACATTTTATTTTTAATGTATGTTCACCATGAACATATTCTGCTTTTCGCATACTATACTTTAAAGGTCAGCTGCAAGGAGAAAAATTTGGGGGATTGAGCTTTTCTTTATGATGTATAAAGGCAGCCTGAGAGGCTGGTATTTTTTAAACAACCTGCTTGTGTTTTACATTAGATTCAGGTCCTCTCCAGGCTGAAAGACTGATAGGAGAACTAATATAATGATATCACGTTTTCTAGAAGAGTGAAATTTAAGCAATCGAAACAAGAAGCAATTTTTAGTCAGTTTTTAAAACTTCATTTTTTAACACTTATTCAAACTTCAATGACTAACATTTGGAATAAAATAAGCCTTTGTTAAAAGGTTTAGCACCTTTCAAATTCAATAAACATCTCTCAACCTTTCACCAACAGAATATGGTCCACTAAGAGATATTACCTTATCCACCTTGTCTATCCCTAAACCTGGAAGAAATCCTCCAACAAAACGGTGACAGCCAGACTTTATACTCCTGATATTTCTACTTTTTTTAAAGCAGAGCAGGGAGGTTAATGTTAAATCATCTTCATCCATCTTAAAAACAAAGCAAAAAAGGGAACAACCCCCTTTTTCTTTTTCTTTTTATTTACAAATATTTAAAAAAAGTTTATATAAATTATGATCCAATACATTTAACTGAAAAAATGAATATGGGTTTGTATATAAATATCTCCATTGAAATTAATGGCATTACTCATGAGTAAACACTGCAGGAACAGACTTCATGTGCCTTAATATTTGAAGAGCATGAAGCCCCAATCTGAAATATAATTTTTAAAATGTCTTACAGTTTCCTACAGTGCACCTTTGTTAAATGTTTAATAGCACAGTAATAGCAGCCTTGACTACCATGGTTTTTCAGAGCACCATGAAAGTAAACACATGCAACACTACTTACATTACACCTTCTTGCTCAGGTTTCAGCCACACAGTTAATGTAAATGATTCTGCGAGCCTCTGAGAACGGGGAACAGAAAAACAATCCTTGTGATTACGAAAAATAAAACTTAGAGAGTTGATGGAGGAGCCTGGATGTAAATCATTCTTGTCTTCTGAGATACAAGTGCCAAGGCCTGTTGAGAAAAGTGCAGTGTAGGAGGCAGGTGAAGATCTATATGGACACTCCTGAATACAAAACCGCTGGGTACAGGACTGAATACTTTCAACAGCTATAGAACTGTGACAAAAAGTACTTCGGTCTGGCAATCCACACGTTGCTTGAGTTGGCACAATAGACACATTCTTGAAAGCTCCCACATTTTCTAGCTTGGGGAAATGTCCCTGTGAGCTAACCAACGATAAGAAGGCGTAATAAGCTAAAAGTAATGTTTCAATGGCATGAAATAGGAAGCCACCACCCAAGGAAAGAACCAGGCAATTCATGTTTACAAAAAAATCTCCTGCGGATAAAGAATCCCTAAATAAATAATATCATCCATCTCAGCAACACTGCTTTCAAGTAGCGTGGTTCTAAAATGATGCAGAGTTTCATCTTTGGGAAACCAAGGCAGGTTTGCATTCTTGGAGGACACGGATGTTCTTCTGGCCAATGGCACAGAAATGGGTGACCGCCAGCATCTGTAAACCAAGACAAACAAACAGTGTCCATGGGATGAATGCTACTTTCTTTTTTTAATTGAAGATATCCTGTTGGAAATATTAGGGGCCATATTCTTCCTTCAACTTCAGGTCAGTGGGTCAAACCAGCAATCTTTGAAGTTAAAGGGAATATTGTCTGAGCAGTCTTATTTAACTTGTGGGGGTTTTGTTGGAGTAAAGAATGTAGGATTAGGCCTAATGGAAGTTGCATACATATATCTGATTGCAGAATTTGGCCCAGTTCTATTACGGTAAAAAACACAATTACTTCAAAAGTAATGGGAAAAAATGCTATATTATATAAAAGCACAGTTTAGCTACCAAATATATGGATTTAAGAATTTTTGTTAGTAAAACTTAGAACCTCAAACTTTACAACATAATTTAAAAAAAAAAAAAAAAAAATCTATGTGCATGTCAGCTCTACAGTTCCGTATTTAAGCTATACAGAATATCAACTATACAGTTCCATATTTAAAGTTCACAGAACGTTCAGCTGTACTATACCAAAAACTGTTCACCTGCACTTATGACACAAAATGCAACACATAAAAGGTGCATCCCGAGGTTGAATGAAAAATCATATAGTTTAAGTTTGCAAAGCTGTTTGTGTCTTACCCCATTGTCCATTTGACGCAGCTCCTTTTAGCTCTCAGTAAAGCTGATTAAAAACATATCACCATCTGTCCTGTGTAAACCTTCTAATAGAAAAAGTCTGCGCTGCTTACGGACACTATAGATATATAATTTGGGTTACATATGGACAGCTAGCACTATTTAATTACAATTGATAAATAAGTTGAGTTACCGTTATTTATTGCATTTCAAAGAAGAGGATACTGCTCCCTCGGTTTGACAATTGGCTCATTGGTAGGAACACTGGCTGCTGTTGCCTGGCAACACCATGCTAACCCCACTTACTCTTAGTAAACAGGCTTTGGCAGCAGGAACACTCAGACTCACAGGTAAGCACTTTATTAACTGGAGTCGGAGAGCAGTCAGCTCTTTAGCCTGGCTACAAGAGCTTAACTCCTCAGGCCTGCATCTAGTACTCCTTACAGTGGGAGGCACCCAGATCCTAGCCCCACACACAATTTTAAAGTAACAGTACACAACACACACACACCTATCTCCCTCATGATTTAAAAAAAAACAAAAACAAAAAACCACAGCAGATTGTCAAGCAATTTTCCTGTCACTCAAGTTTAAGGTATAAAATATTTAATACAGCAAGTGATGACAACTTGTTCCTCTTTGTGGGTTACAGAGGTTACAAGCATTTAAACTGCTCGAAAACAGACTTTACAATTGGTTTAGTATGGAATCTTTATACTTGGACAGCATGTATCTGAACTTCCTGTAGGTTATGCCACATCTGGCATGTTCTCTGCTGTTTGGGTTTGGAGGGTCAGAGGTTCTGTATGCCCTGTGATGGTACTGCTGTCTGGCCTAGAATAGGTGTTATCATGCATCCCATCCTTGTTTTATGAGCTCGGATGTTAAGTGAATTCCACAGGTGAGGACAGAGGAAGAGTTTCTCTGCTGGACCAATTTAAAATATAGGCAGTTGTGTGAAAGCAGTTAGATTTGTGGGCAGAAGACAGGAGTAGAACATGCTGTGACAGAATGTACCCCCTTTTCCACACCCTACACCCTATTGGAACAACCTTTGTACCGTATCATTTGAAAACTCAATTTGCAGGTCAATATTGTCTTGATAAAACAGGTGTGGCAACATTATAATGTGACGTTATAAGATTCTACTGTATAGTGTTAACACATATTCCAAACCGAGGTTGGCAAACAGGTTTGTCTCCAACAAAAGAATGGGTGCTCTGCTTAGTTTGCATTTTAGCAGTAAACAGAGTCAATCAATCAATCAGGAAGGGAAGACAGAGGAAGCTCAAAACAGGTGAGGGGAAAAAAACAGGGAACATCTTTCCATCTAGAGCTTGTCTCGCGGTACCAATCCAGAAATGTTTTTGAAAAGAGGGACAAACTATAAAAAGGATAGGCAAACACCCCATCTCTCTCTCCCTGCCCAATCACATTCACAGCATCAGAAGTGACAGAGGTAGAAGGAAGGGGTTCTCACCTAAGAAATTTGGTCAGTAAGACTGAGAAACTTTACTTGAATCTGAACTAATTTAAGTTAGACACTAGTAGAATTTTAACTTTATTTTCTTGTAACCATCTCTGACTTTTATGCCTCATTACTAGTACTCACTTCAAATCTCTCTGTAGTAAATAAATTTGTTTTATCTAATCCAGTGTGTTTAAATTGAAGTGTTTGGGAAACAATGTGAGGTGGCAAGTTGTGAGCATATTATTTCTATTAAAGAATTAACAGACTTCATATAAATTGTTATTGTGTAGGAGAGGGCTGGGCAGTACACGATATACATTTCTGGGGGGAAAATCTAAGACTGGGAGTGCTTTGGGGTCACTTTGCAGTAAAACCAAAGCAAGTAAGAGCCAAATTGTAGGTGGCTGGCTGGCTGCCACACACACAGTTGAGAGTGACTTGCATGCTAGAGGCTGTTTGTGAGGAGTCCGGGCAGAGGCTATAGCAACAAAGCATTGTAAAAGACACCCCAGGTTAGAGGGCAGGGGTGACACAGCTACTGATCAATCTGTATTATACCCTGGTGTGTCACCTGTGCTAAATGCATTTTTATAACATGATTCCTCAATCATGACAACACCTCCGCATATATGGTTTTATATACACACACTAATGATTACCATGACTTGAAACTTTTATTGGCAATTATAGAATTATTCTGTTTCTTTTTCTGCTGTAGGTGATAAATTTCAAATGTTGACAATGTAACTTGTCTATTTTTATATGACTGCAATATCTTGTGTAAATTTAAGTCAAGAACCAGCTGAGATGGGACTGACCAATCATTTGTCTAGCTCAGTCTTTTGAATAAATTAAATTGACTCATGCTTAGAACGAAGCATGTCTGTCCATGTCATCATAAGACAAACACCTGTTATTATGCCAGTTTTGTAATGCATATTCTATTCCTCAGTACATTTCCCTCTCTGCATGAAAACTCTAGATACCAGTGTTGACAGGGCACACAAGTGTGTCAGTTTTGGTATGAATCATTTGTCTGTATAGCATGGCAGTGTTAAGATGCATCCCAGTCCATGAATACCAGTCTCATATTCTCATCAATAAGCCTGTCATGAGGGAGTTGATCAGACATAGCTCTGGACAGAGCAACACCAATTAATTTCTCTCCACCCCATATTTAAGCAACTGCAAGGTTATATCTTTGCAGTTGAAGTAACATGGGTTGCAACCAGGTTGATATTTTCCCCAACAATTTAGTCAAAATAGTCTCAAGTGGCTTGTGACCTGACTGCACTTGGACCTCCACTCCGGCTCTGTACTGATGGAATTAGTTTTGTAGAAAACAAATGCCAACGATTCTCTGTCAAAATTCTTAATGCATATTTATCAGGTCCTTCATCCTACATGAAATGAGCTCCTAGACCACCACACTTGGATTACATCCACTTAAACAGTTACCTTTTTGCAAGGGTCATAAAATCCAAGTAGTGATGCCAGCCAAAGCGTTGTTTTCAATCACTGTAGTGTGTGTGTTCTGGTGGTAGCACTAAGATTGCCAGGCTACAGTCAATTACTTTGCCCAGAATTTTCAGGAATAGGTATTGTACCATCTCAAGGTATTGTAACATCCCATACTGTGACATGACCCAGGGTACAATCTGGACCGTTGGATAGCTGTGTCCCCTCAGTTTGCTAACCTGAGGTGCCTTTTACACTGTTTCACTCTGATAGCAGCCACTCCTGGCCAGCTCTCATAGCCTTCAGCATGTAAATTGCCCCCAGCTATATTGCAAGAGTGCTTCAGCCAGCCTGCCACCCTTGAATTATACTGCAGAGCGACACCAGCAGATGTCCAGTCCCAGATGACTTGTGCCCAGAAATGCACATCTTGTACTGCCCAGCTCTTTCCTTCTAGAGAAGACAAGCCTATAGAAAGTTTGTCATTTCATTAATAGAAAATGATATGCACAAACGCTGTTATCTCCAATGCAGGCTCCCAAACATTTCAAACAATAATAAACTTGTTTTAACTACAGAAAGTGATTACAAGTAATAGGCATAAAAGCCAGAATTGGTTACAAAGAAATAAAAGATAAAATACCTAACTTAACAAGCTAAGTCAACTGGGGGGAGGGGGGGAGGTTTCGCACACCACATGCTTACAGCAGTCTGGCTGGATCTGTCAGCCAGGGCCCCTCCCCCAGGTCAATGATGTTTCTTTTGTCTTTTAAACATTGTTGATGCTGTGAGTAGAGGTGAAGGGAGAGAGAGGACTTCGGGCCCCTGTTCCTCATTTTTATATCTCCAGCTGGGGTTCAGGTTAAAGCAAGTCTGTTCCTTTGCCAAGATATAACTTTCACCCACACCCTTCTTCCTGCTTTTAAAAAAAGAACACCTCTTAATCAAGTGATAGCTCATTTGATTATGTTGACATCTGGCTGAGGTGTTGACTAGCTTTTTGTCTCTAGGGAACTGGTCTAAAGTTGTTTCCCCAGACTTGGAACATGCCTTAGTAAAGTCATACAGTAGAATCTTATAACTGTACATACAATGTTGCCACATACATTTTACCAGGACAATAATAGTCAGCAGATTATGAGTTTTCAAATGATACCACAAGGTATACTTTGTACACAATTTATCAGTGTCTTGTAAAAAGGATGAACTATTACACATACATATCGGCAAGTAGAGCCTT